ATATTTCTGGGTCTCTGTTGTGGGCAGATCTTCCAGGAGCACCCTCTCCACGGCTGCACCAAGGCCAACGGCACCCAGGCGGGCCCAGAGGAGGACAGCCTGATAGTGGTGGGGAACCAGACGGCCAGCCGCGCCGCTTCCAAAGTGACGGGGCAGCCCAACACGGCGCTGCTGTCCCTCGTCCTCATGGCCGGCACCTTCTTCATCGCTTTCTTCCTCCGCAAGTTCAAGAATAGCCGCTTCTTCCCGGGACGGGTGTGTGTGTGTGTGTGGCCCAGCGTTTGAGGGGGGGGAGACGGCCCCCGTGGTGGTGCCAGTCGGGCGTTTCTAGAAAGTGGGCGGGGGCTCGTACCCAGCAAGGCTTCTGATTTGCCAGTGGAGATCGGATCGCCTGAGTCGATTTCTTAAAAGTTGCTTTGGCAGCTTCACGGTATGGTTGGAAGCAAGCTGTGTGTATGCACAAAAATGCTTTTGAGCCACATCTTCATTTTAAAAGGCACCCCCGTCCCACAGAACTTCTCCCTGAAATGCTGCAGAGTGGCCTCCCTCCTGGACACGGTGCGGGTGGCCACTCCCTGCGGCAGCCATTTGGTGGCTGCCCCCCCCCCCCCCCGGGCCAGAATTCCAAAGGCGCCCCCAGGCTCCCAGAGGCTGGGACCCCCCCTGCCCTAGAGGCTGCCTGCCGGGGGGTGTCTCTGGGGTGGTGTGCACACGCACCTGGACCAGGCATTCATGGGGGTGGGGGCTCGGCTCCATTGGTCTGTCCTTCGGGGCAGGCAGGAGGCCAGTAGGAGGACCCTGTGACTGAGCACGTCTGTCTCTCTGGGCAGGTTCGCCGGGTGATTGGCGACTTTGGGGTGCCCATTGCCATCCTGCTCATGGTGTTGGTGGACTACAGCATCCAGGACACGTACACGCAGGTGGGTTGGGAGAGGGGGGGGGCCCAGGCTCCTTCCAGCCTGGCCCCCGCGGCGGGGCTCCACGTTGGATTTCCCCAGTGGCTCCCAGGGAATGGGAGGGGACCAAAAGACTCCCTCTGAGTGCCATTAAGGGAAGACGAATCCCTGCACCCTGCTTTTGGCTGCCCAGAGGAGAGTTGCGTGCTAAACAGGGGCGGGGGGCTCCTCCAGGTGCCTCTTGCGAGGGAGAAAGAGGATGGCGGCAGCTGTCACCTGGGCGATGGTTGCCCACAGCCCGAGATGTGTGTCCGTCGTCCGTCCCCCCCCGGCGCCCCCCGGCCCTGCTGCGCTCTCAGCTGCTGCCCGTCCTGTCCCTCCTGCAGAAGCTTTCGGTGCCCCGCGGCTTCTCCGTCACAGACCCCGAGCAGCGGGGCTGGGTGATCAACCCCCTTGGGGGGGAGCGCCCCTTTCCTGTCTGGATGATGGTGGCGAGCGCCCTCCCTGCGGTCCTGGTCTTCATCCTCATCTTCATGGAGACGCAGATCACCACGTGAGTGGCATGCTGGCCGGGGGGGGGGGGGGGGGGGGCGGGGGGGGCAGAGACCGCAGAGCGGCCCCGCTCTCTTTGTGGATGCAGCCTCCTCCCGGCGCACCCCCCCCCCCCCCCCCCCCCCCCGCCACAGGCTGATCATCAGCAAGAAGGAGCGCAAGCTGCAGAAGGGCTCCGGCTTCCACCTGGACCTCCTCCTCATCGTGGCCATGGGGGGCTTCTGCGCCCTCTTCGGGCTGCCCTGGCTGGCCGCGGCCACTGTGCGGTCCGTCACCCACGCCAACGCCCTCACGGTCATGAGCAAGGCCGTGGCCCCCGGGGACAAGCCCAAGATCCAGGAGGTGAAAGAGCAGCGCGTCACGGGCCTGCTGGTGGCCGTCCTCGTGGGTGAGTCCTCTGCAGGCCTCGCCGCTGCCGCCGCCTCTGGCACGGCTCTGCTCTCCTCCTTCTCCCCCCTCCCCCATTTGGGGGGGGCGGCGGGACGCGGGACCCACCCTGGCACCACTGCTCCGTGGCCTCCTCGGCCCCTCTTCTGTGGCACTGCTGAGCAGGTCCTGCCTCTGCCCCAGGCTTGTCCATCGTGATCGGCGACCTGCTGCGCAAGATCCCGCTGGCCGTGCTCTTCGGGATCTTCCTCTACATGGGCGTCACCTCCCTGAACGGGATCCAGTTCTACGAGCGCCTCCACTTACTGCTCATGCCTCCCAAGCACCACCCCGACGTGCCCTACGTCAAGAAGGTCAGGAACGGGACAGGAGGGGTGGCGTGGGGTGGGGAGGGAGGCGTCTCTCGGGCTGGCTGCACGGAGGGGGCGGGGGGCGGGCACGCACAGCCGGCCTTCACACACTGAGCCTAGAGGGGCCTGCTCAGGCGAAGCCACGCGTGTGCCTCCTGCTCAGAGTGGCCGGGGGGGGGGGAGCACAGTGGGAAATGGTTGAAGGGGCCGGCCCACAGCTGCTCCCTCTGCCTGTACAGGTGCGGACGCTGCGGATGCACCTCTTCACGAGCCTGCAGCTGGTGTGCCTGGCCGTGCTGTGGGCCGTCATGTCCACAGTGGCCTCCCTGGCCTTCCCGTTCATCCTCATCCTCACGGTGCCACTTCGCATCTGCCTGCTCGGCCGCATCTTCACAGAGCGAGAGATGAAATGCGTAAGTGGGGCTGGCCGGGCGGGCGGGGGGCACCAGCCACAATCGGCAGGGCCAACGCTCTGCAAAGCGGCAGCCCCCCACCCCTGGCTAAGCACACCTCCCCTCCCCCTCTCTCTTTGGACAGCTGGATGCCAACGAGGCAGAGCCCATCCTGGACGAGAGAGAAGGCGTGGACGAATACAACGAGATGCCCATGCCTGTGTGAGGAGGGGTCCGGGAAGGCCCCAGGAAGAGCAGCGCCCCGCCTCGCCCGGCGCAGGGAGGAACTGGACCCGGGAGCACCTCTGTGCCTTTGCCTTGCCCTGTCAGACTGGGGGGGGGGAGAGGCCCTTGCCGAAGCGGCACCACCCACAGACCGCCCAGCTCCTCCGCGGCTGCTGGACAAGAGAGGGCCAGGCGGAGCGCAGGCACCCCCTCTGCTTCCTCGCACCAGCCGTGGGGGGCGGGGGACACCTGTCTCTCCCAAGACGAATATCGGTGGCTCCCTGCATCCTATGATTTTATTTAAGAGATTAATTTAAAACTTCAATAAACAGCTTTACTATAATCTGGCGGGGGTGTCACCTGCTCCTGGGTGGGGCCTTGAGCAGGCCACGAGGAGGAGGAGGGCTTTGCCCCTTGGCCACTGGCCGGGCCTGGCCGCTTGCTCCCTGGCGGACCAGCGGGAGCCCACGCAGCCTTAGGAGCATCAGGCGCTTTCCTTCCACCAGGACTGAGTGGGTGCTAATAAAACAACACAGAGAGAGAGCCGGTGTGCGTTTCTCCATTTTCCATTTTATTGCACATGTCCTCCTCTCCCTTCTCCCACTGACCTTCTCCAGCCCCACCAGGGAGTCCTCCCTTCCTGGAGAAGGGGCAGGAGCCAGGGGCTTCCCCTGCCACCTCGGAGCTTCCTGCCGGCCCGCCAGCTGATGCACCACCGGCAACCCCCCCCCCCCCACCCCCCCCCCCTGGCCCCCCCGGGGCCCCGCAGAGTC